ACCACCACCGAACGCTTCATGCTATAGGTTTATATGCTATTATGTTGTGTTCACCGTAAAAATAAAGATTTTTTCACGTACCACTAACATACTACAAGCTACGTTTGCGCACAAGAGCACGGAAGCGGAGAAAATGTGGTTTAAAATTGGAATTGTTCTCCCCCTCCCCATCCGGTGTCGCTAGTTAATGAAATTTTCGACTTATGGCAGTTATTTTTTTACGGCGCATTGTTTTCCAATACCACACACTTCGTATCCGATCATCAATCTAGACGGCGATGTAACGCGGATGAAACGCAACGATATTATATTGTATTAATACACGACCACATTTCACCCTAGACCGGGTCACTTGCACTTCAACTAACGGCGAACATCGTTTACCTGCATGATAATTTATTCAGTCGCAGTATGCGATATTGAATGTAATTTTACTTTGAACGCCGCTACCGAGTACAACATTGTGTGTGTGTTTAGCTGTAACAGCACGTTTGACCGAGTGGTATAATTGTATACAACGAATCCATTGCTAGGCTCAAATGTCAGTCGGACTTGAAACCTTCGTGAAGTCAAGGATAGGTTAAGTGGGGCAAACGTCGAACTCTGTTCCCGCAAACATGAATAGTTAATCCGTTGTATTAGGAATTTGATACCCGACTCGAAATTAAGTGGATTATTTCTATAACGGTAAAGTAGTAATGACGATCCAATGGTAATTTATTGATATTCTTACTAAATCATTCAACGTTAATCATAATTTAATTCGCAATATTTGATATATATTTGTCAAGGAATCTCATCCGTTCGACGAATTTTGAAATTTTTATAACAATTTGAATTGATACGCAGTAAATGTCATTGTTTTCTCGGCGTTTATTTGTAACGAATAACTTTAAACGAAAGATTAATGAAAAAACTTACAATCAAGTATATAGTATTAATTTTAAAAATACCCGGAAAATGGCCGCGTGAAACTTTGGCAGTAAAAATTCATAAAAATATTGTTTTCTAGGAAATACAACTCGTCTTTGTAAAACTGTTTATAATATTTATAATTGAAACATTAACATGTGATTGGTTGGAATTGCGCATTTTTAAAATGTATACGTAATAGAGAACTCTGTTGTTTTGAGCTACAAACATAGTTATTAAAATTTAATTTGAACAACTGTAAATATTTAAAAAAAATATATCTTAAGCGAAAAAATGATATTGAAGTTCCTAATTTATTATTATTATTATTATTTTTTTTTTTTTTGTATCACATTTAAAACCAAAAAAAAAAGAAAAACTCAGTGAAAATAAATATACATATTATCACATTTTATAATGAAATAGTTTTTTATATACAATTCTATCGCGATTACCTAATTTTACATTATTTATTTTTCGTTTAAATTATTTATTTTTGCTTATTTCTGTATTTTGAAAATATGTGTTGTAATTTAAATAATAGTTTTGTTTTATTAATGAATTAAAATACGCGTATAGTATACAATTCGTAACCAATACTCTATTCGATGTCATTTATACGATGCATATAATGGGTTTTTACTGAATATTATATCGGAAACTACTTTATGCTACTTTCATTATTGACAATCAACGGTAGAACTCAAGAATGTAATGAGTTGTGATAATATTACGGACGTGGCATTGAAAGTTAAACAAAAGGTGAGTTACGAGGACATAATGTTATATATTTATGCGGTCTGTTTTTAAATTATCTTCGACGTAGAGTTTTTATTTTTTCGACGTGTAACTTATTTCAATGATTGGTTATAACTAAGTTAAAAACTTAAACATTTTACAAATATTTTCATAAAAATATCTTTGAATCTATTTTAACTAGTGAAATTACAGAAAGGTTACATTCGTATAATTATTTTTATAACGTTTTTTAATTTTTTTTTTTTTTTTAAAAAAAGCCTCTACCATGAATTTTCACTGAATAGTTTTGTCCCGTATACACGCAGGAACGGCTTCAGAGTCTAGGGGAGGGGGGGGGCAAGTTATTATTTTACAAAATTTCATAATAAAAAGAAAACAACAATTTTTACAACACAAAAATTCAAGTCAGCTATTTTTAAAATTGGCAAAAATATCAATAATATGATCTATTTGATCTAGAATATCTACTTTATGATATACAATAATTAGACATAATGCTGATAGTCTATCTTCAGTCATTCTTGAACAAAGCCAGTTTATTAGTTTTTAAAGTGTGGAGAAACTCCTTTTAACCGTCATACCTCTATGGCTTTATCGACAAACTTATGTGTGTCGTATGTTAGTCCATATTATAATATGCATATTTTGTTAACAATATAAATTTTTTTCTAAATATGGTACGGGCTTGGGGAGGGGTGGTTCTTGTGGCCCCCTCCCTGGAGTCACCACTGTATACACGTATTTTTACTCTTAAATTACTCGTAATACATCCTAATTATTATAATGTAATTACTTCCTCTTAATAATGTGGATTCAGTTATTGATATCTTTTCTCTGCAGGGAGTCAACTAAAATTTGTATTCAGTAAAGTCATCGCTTGAACCTTTCTACCAATAAGATCCAAATATGAACCGAAATAAAAACATAGTATCTAGCTTATTACTAGGTATTTGATTCATCGCCACAATCTTGATAAAACAATATATGTAATAGTGAAACGAGCAACAAAATATAATCGAAAATAAATGTAACTAAAACCTATTATTGTAACCGGATGCCGTTCTAATAGGTTTATTTGATTTATGTACATTATACACACACTATGATGCTCGATATTCTCAAAAAAGTCAATTTTTTATATTTGTTTGACTGTGAGTGCATTATATGAAAGAAGTTCTGTTGAAACAAAACGACTGAAATAAACATAAATACAATAATATCGGATCTCAGTTGATTCGTCGAGAAGTTCAGTTGTTGTACGTACAATACTGCAACTTTTCGGTTACGTGAGAACAGACCCGAAATTAATTTCACCTCAAAATATCGTGACACGTTTCGGCGGAGAACTGAAGACGTGTTCAACAGCGGAGGTTATTTTTAGTTTATTTTCATTAAACAGAGAAATTTCACATTTACTCGGTTTGACATTAATTAGGTGAAAACTAAAGTCGACTGCAGTCTGAATGGTCAAAAAATTAATCTTGCCAAGTTACACAAGGGCGAACATCAAAAATAAATAAGCTTGTTACATCAAAAAGTTATTATAAACTTTAAAACTCGTTGGTGATCAGCAGGCGGAACGCGTACGACGTGTTCGCTATATCGTTGATTTGTGATCAGCGGACGGACCGAAGAAAAATTACAATAAAAAAAAAAAAACTAATCTTCACGATAGTAACAATGAACAGACGATCAAACGTATATTTCGCAGTTTAAGCGTTCACGTTTCGGTGCATTTTTCGTATTCTGTCTGTTGGACCGATCCTGCGATCGTGTGTAGTAAAATTCCACCCGTGTTCGATCCTATCCGCGGCGGCCGTCGATTCGTACCGAACGCGCACGTAAGTAATCGACTTTACGCGAACCCCGTTGATCATAACTCGGTCTTATCGTGCCACATGTTTTATGAACTTTTGCGGGGTCCGAAACGTTGGTCTTGAAGCTGCTCCCGATTACTGCGGTAAAACCGTGTGACAATATTATACGCCGTTGTAACGGCGAGGCGAATACAATAGCGTCAGATACTCTCGTATAAGTCTTTTGATAACATAATATGTTCTAAAGCGACGGACTTAGGGACGATGAGATGTTCGCTTTGTTGCCGTTTTGCCGGGCTTACGTCATATTCTTCGGAAGATAATCCGCGTGACGTTAAGGGCGGACGCGCGGAATTCGATCTCAATATGTATTTTTTTTTTCAACCTCGCGTGATTATCTCTATTGTTTTCAGTTTCCGTAGACGTGTGGGATGCCCGCGTTATCGTCCGATCGGTTTATAATCAACGTTGGTGCAGTGCACACATAGCCGCACCGGTAAAAACATAACACCGTCACACGGATCGAATAAATAAACCTGAAAAAACCGAAAACGATTGTCGCCGCGTGTTGGTCTCTGCCGATATCGGTACGGATCGAACGGAGTTATCGGCTGCGAAAAATCTTACACGGAGAATGGCAATGCAGTCCGTGCAGTGGCGTATTTAGAAACTTTTTTTTTTTATTTTGGGGGGGATTGTCATACCTAATAGTGAAATAATTTTATAAAATAGTATAAAATGTTTTTTATCAACTTATTGTTAGGTTTTTTCATTAACTTATTGAAATCAAACTAGTGACAAACTTCTATAACAAAATTACAAATTATATTATAAATTCTAGTTTTCATTTTTTATATGCTAAATCATCAATAACTTCATCGGTGTGAAAGTCTAAATCTCGATGAATCGATAGCATGGCAGGACATCGACATATCGACCGATAATTTTCCCACATCAGATTATTTACATACCACGTGTCTGTGATCGATTGTTATTATTATTATCCGATAACAATTTAATTATTAGCGATATCAATATTTTTTACACACATACATATATATATTTTTTTTCATACTTTATGGAATAAAAAAACTAAAATTATTATATTACTGATAGGTTTTAAATTTGACTTTTTCAAATATTTTATTAATTTTTTTATTTTTTGGGAGGGGAGTGGAAACCCCACAGCACCCCTCCCACCATAAATACGCCACGAGCAATTGTTATAAATAATGTCGCGCACAACATTAACATAAACACGCAATCGGCATATTGGGCCGTACGTATCGAAGCGAATAGGTTTTTTCGACAATTATCAACTTAATCGTCTGACGGTACACGAGAATAAAAATAAATAGCCTCCGATGATCATCTCGCGCGTTCTATCGAAAACAGACGATACGTTTTTATCCGTTTTTTTCGTCGTACGAGGACCGCACCCGATCGAGTAAAACGCTTCGGGTGGTAAGCGGGGTTAATTGTATGGGCGGGGGGAGGGGTAAGAGCACGTACCTTTGATGAGGGTGAGTATGCCGACGGGCATGACGAGCACAGCGACCATGAGATCGGTGACGGCCAGCGACATGAGGAAGTAGTTGGTGACATTTTGCAGGCGGCGTTCCCACGTGATGGCCAGACAGACGAGTATGTTGCCGGCGGCCGTGGCCAGCACCAGGAACACGGCCAGCAGGGCCCACCACCAGTATCCGCCGTCGAACGCGTCGCCGCCACCGCCACCACCGCTTCCGCCGCCGCCGACAACAGCACCGCCCCCGACGACGGCACCAGCGCCGGTGATGTTCGGCTGGCCGACGAGCGGCGTCGGCTGCAGCGGCTGCAGCGGCGTCTGCAGCAACGACGACGCCGACGTCGGCCCGGCGGTGCCGTTGCCGATCACCACGCCGCCGCCGTCACCACCGCCGCCGCCGCCGCCGCTGCTGACGTACACCGTGCGCGCGTGGCGTCCACTGCGATCACCTCACTGGGCCACCCGACACGTACGCGGCCGGCGGGACAACGTCGGACGGAGCATTACATGGCCACGTGTGCTGCGGACGAACCGTGCGGCCGTGGATCCGGCGGGACAGTGGGCCGTTCGTCCCGGGCGTCAGCGGAACAGCCGGCCGCGGGCACGTGTTCGACGCATGTGTTCACCCACCTGACAACAACAACGGCATATTATTGTAACGAACATTAAACGTAATACGTAGACTTACGGCTACCGCGTTAAGTGTAATGTTCGTAAATGCGTTTCGCATCTTCCGGCCGCCGGAAAATCGGCATAAGACTTATGAATAATTCCTACACGTATAAGCGACCAACTATAATTTTATGATGTGCGTTGAATTAAAGTGGTTTATCGATTTCTTTATTTGACTTGCACTTTTTCCTAAATATTCAACTACCGTTCAAATATAAATAAAAATACTTATTGTTAGATAGTAATGTGATCAAATGTTGTTAAAAAAAAAAATAATAAAGAGTAACGTTTTACATCGACTGTTAATATTGTTATAATCGCTAAGCTAACGTGATTTGGATATTTAAAACGTTCTCAAAAATAAGGCTTGTAAAAAAAAAAAAATTTAATTTTGACGGCTGCAACATAAAATGTATTTAATCACCTTGGATGTGTGAAAAAACGGTATTTGAAAATCATCGTTAACACTTAAACGCCGATGAAACGCGATGAAACCGGTGGGAAACGGTGGTCAATGCGCGTATTACCTGCGCGTTTCGATGGCTTTGAGGCGGGGATCGCGTGCGCGCGTATGTATTTTTTTTTTTATATTGTTCGATTGTCCCACTTGAAGCGGTTTTTTTAAAAAAAAAAAAAAAAAAATAACCCTTATCGAACAATTAATGCACGTCCAAGCGTGACGGACACAAAACGACGGACCTACTAATAGCGTTTATTGTTATTGTTACACCCGATAGGACGAAAATCGGTAGGTTCGCGATGTTTTTCGCGTAAATAGTCGATATTATTATTAGCCGCCGTCTAATTCATATGCATTACAATCTTTACGCGTCTCCGTCTACAACCGTTTTCACGGCGAGCAACGCGTTGAACGCGCGCAACGTGTTCGCGGCACTCGGTTACGTGTTCGTCGCGTACGCGGTGTTCCCGACGTTCTCGTTGGTCGTCGGTCGATGACGTGTGGCCGCTGCGCCCGCGGACGAAAGCGCGTACGTGTACGCGCAAACCGCACACGCCAACACCGATCCGGAACGACGATAACGATGTGCGTAGTGTTGTTTTTTCGGTCGGCGCACCGTGAACCAATAAAACGCACCTAATGCGCGCGCGCGCCGATCGCCAAAAAAAAAAAAAAAAAAAACAAAAAACAAATACATAAATAAATAAACGTAGGCGTGTTGAAAACGCGATTTTAAACGTTTGTCTCGGCACACTAATCGCGCACAAACGGACGGTCGAAAACCGTATCGAACAACGAACACCGTGGTCGGCCTAACCCTTGTTCGGTCCAGTTAGGTCGGGTAGTGCACTAGTTGGGTCCGTGAGAAAATAAAAATTCCGCTTCTCGTTTTCGCAGACTTAGAACGGTCGGTCGCCTATGAATTACACGTATGATTTTTTTTTTTTTCAAACTTCCTAATAAATACGATTGCGATGATTGCGAATCACAACACCGGTATGTGGCACGTAAATGCATACATTCAAACGATAGAGCTTTTACAAACTAAAATCTATTAATTTTTTTTTTTTTTTTGACTGTCGAGCGCATCAATACTTGTAAGTCACATTGTTTTATTGCCGTAGTGGTCGGACCGAACTCGTATGTTATTGTTTCTATAATCGGACCCGATTAGTTGGTTTACCTCAATCATAAATATTATCTGGGACGCGACTCGGACAGATGTGGGCTACACGTGCACCGCAGTTATCGTGTACGATTTTCGAATCGTACGAAAGCTCGTCGCGCAATAAACTATCTGTTTTGCGCCGTGCACGTCTCTTTTGAACGGTATTCCGACACGCTATACCGTAATAACGATAAAAAAAATAATAAAAACACCGGATCGTACGTGCACGTCTAACCGATATGTTATCGCGACGCATTCGATATATTTTACGTTTCGCGTTAACGCGGTGCTGCGTACCGGCAATTTGTTTTTAATTAAACGCGCGTTACCGTTTAAACAATAATTAACAGCAATAGAAAAGAGGGAAGAATATAGATTGCTGGCACTGGAGATTTGGTGTTGACGAAGGATTACCCGGGCATTGAAGATAAGTTCGATAGATCACGTAACAGGTGATGAAGTATTCAGAAGAACCGGAGAAAAAAGAAGTTAGACTGAATTTTATGGGACATTCCTCAAGACACAATAGGCTAATGGCAAGATTGATAGAAGAGGAAGAAACACAAGAGGCAGCCACTAGAATATATCAAACAAATTTAAAAATGCGTGAATGCAACATGCTATCATGACCTGAAGAGGAAACCAGGGAATCGAGATGAATGGAGAGTTGCTTCAAGCCAGCCGAAAAAAATCGTTTAAACGATTTCCGTTGCTCCATCGTTCACTGTTACTGTTTGCAAAACAGAGCGGGTACGCGTGGTGACGAAAGAACCGAACGTACTTTAAGCTTCGGGGTGATTGTTATTTACGACATTCGATCTGTGCGGGAACGGTTTATGAATGTACGTTTCCCAACGTGTCGCCGTGACCGACTGGTCGTCGCGACGCATTTTTCTTAACATGTTCTACTACAAGCACTCACCTACTGGACATTTTTGTTCCAAAAAATCATTGTTAATTTAATACCATGCATATTAATTATAAAATAATTTTAATAAGATCTATTTATGAAGTTCAGTAAAATGTATTATATTTTTAGATAATCTAAAATGTATAATCTTGAACGTATTTATTGGTTTAAAACTATAAAGATTCACCTGAGTACCGATTTCTATGGTATATGATTTCGTTCTTATATATTTTTAGATACACATTGTTTTGGCCCGTATTTAAAAAAACTTAAAATATTACCTATAAATAAATTATCAACAATAAAAATGCATGCAAATAAAAAAAAAAAAGACTATGAAATACTTAATGTATATAATACAAGAAATGAATGTATTAATAATCTCAAATTACTTAAATGTAATACTACTTTAAAGAAATTGTTTTACATAAATAGAGGAATTGAATTATTTAATAGGTTACCAAATAATATTAAGACTATTAATAAAAATAAACTCTTTAAATATAAAATAAACAAACTATACATGCAATTTCACGACGAGACTTAATTATAATTATTATTATATATTTAACAAATGTTTATTAAAATATATACTTATTTTATAATCATAGAAATATACATATAATAATAGAAATATAAAATATAAAATAGAAATAAGAAAAAACTATTAATTAATTATAGACTCCCTAATCTCACCACAATCATTGCTTATAGAGATTAGGTATCAACTCAAATTGTATCATGCAGAAAATTGTTGTAATTGTTATTATTGTTGTTGTTGATTAAATAAATAAATAAATAAATATTCTAACCCGTACCTGTTCGACTGCTCACGTTTAGCTATTTTCAAGCAGATAAATGATTTCAACGTTTAAAAATAATAACATAAAATTTCGAGAATTAGAACTCTATCTTTCGTGACAATATCTTTATAATGAGCATCGGACAAATCGTACAAAATAGAATCAGCTTCTATTTTTTGTACAAGAATTTCATCGTTCGACGGAGAAAACAATTAATTCTAATGCCGTTTTAAATATAAATTAAAAAAAAAAAAATATATATATATATTTAAAATACAAAGTCGTATATTGGTCGTTGTCACGTAGGTACTGTTATCGAAGCAGTAGTGTCGTCGGTCGCGGCAACCCAAAGTTAGCGACCTGTAGCGACTGCATAGAGTTTTACCATACGAAATTATACAAAAAAATAATAACTGTTCTTATACAACTATATTATTGAATGTGTTGTTGAAATTGCAATATTAGTGCTGAGTTTACTTTACTGCTCTAATTGATAATAATGGATAAAAATATATATTTTCTTAAGATTATTTCATCATTTTAATATTTGATTGAATAGACGATTTATATTTTTATCTGGCACTAATCAATACATGCATAACACAATGGGACGTGTCATCGATTGTATTTTATTTACATTTTTATTCTTACATTAAAATAGCCTAAATATTTTTTCCAACGTTTCGGTTTAAGCATTTAAACATTAAATGTATACATTGCACATACATGATCACCACTACCACTCAAGGTATTCTTCTATTTTATGACATTAGTTTGTTTTTATCATTATGATGTATGCAGTACTAAAATTTTTTTCTTTCTATTGATATATTTTTCATTTATTTCAGATGAATTCATGATATTATTTTCAAATCGCTTCTAAATGAATCCACTATGCAAATGAACTCTGTATATGTTCATAGACTATAGAGCTACTGCACTATTAAATAATATGTAGAATATACTTTTATTATTATTATTATTATTATTATTATTATTATTATTATTATTATT